AATGATTTTTGAGAAAATTGTACACGTGTGCATGTGTGTATGTATGTGTTTCTCCATGGGATCTTTTATTTTTTAACCAAGAAATTCCTCTTTTCTTTTTCATTTTAATTAGGATATATTAATTGTTTTTGTATCTAACCATGTTGTCATGAATGCAAAGATTTAGTGGTTTTTATGGCCAGCTACTATTTGATTGTGTTTGTATACAATATTTTATTATGTGTTTTCTGGTGGACAGTTACAATGATCCCCTATCTGGATAATTGTTAATAGTATTGTAATGAATATCATTGTGAAGATCTTATGAATGAATTTCACCATTTCCTTTAGATATGTACTCACCAGTAGTTTTCTAGATTTTGTAATATTTCTGTTTTCAATTTGAAATGATTCTGCAATGTTTTCTCTAATGGTTGAGCAAGGTTTAAGCAGAGATGGAGATGGTAGTATTGAGAGAGAAATAAATAGGTAAGGGAGAGTTAACATAAATGAATGTGGTATGAAAAAGATGTACAGAAACATACTATTTTATAAGATAATTAATATAATTTAAGAAGAGTAAAAGGTTAAAGGGAGATACTCTGCTTTGCTGGATATGGTTGTTCCTAGATGCAATGGATTGTTAAACACAAATCCCAATGCCAGGTATCCAGTGTCTTCTTATGATTTGTTGGTCAAAGAGGCCTCAGAGGCTCCCCAATTACACAGACTCTTGTCATTTTTCTTAGTTGTCCAACAGAACTTACTGGTAAGACCTTATTGCTGAAGACATTATAAACATTGGTTATTGGTTGCAGGATATAGAAAGAAATAATGCTGGAACTAAGCTGGGAGTTTCATCATTACTTGTTAGCTTTTGTCATGCTGAAAGGTGCTACAAAGCCTGCTGGGAAGAAAAAGGCATCAGTGGTCTTACCCAAGTTTGAGCATTATGAACTACAATACCAACTCCCAGGCAAGATGTACCCCCTGCTGAAATAGTGGCACAACTGTTTGGAGTAACCAACAATTCTCTGTACATTGAGTCCTGTTCTTCAAGAAGGGATCCAAACCTAGTACTATAAGCCTGATCAAAAGTCCATGGCCAATGAAAGTCATAGGTTCTAGAGTAGGAACTTGCTACTGTTGTTTGGCTAAACTGACATAGTATCAAACTGTCTTCTAATGTATAAATGCATTACTTTATTTATTAAAGCAAGTTTGTCTCAAACTTTCTTTTACTTGTTTTGGAATTAGCTCAGTACAACAAGGTTATCCACTCAAATATGCAAAACAAATTAAGTTAACTTCACTGGGTTTTTCTTTAAAGAATTTTATGACACCAAGTGCATTTAATTTACTTCTCATTCAACAACAAAATTCCCAAAGCACACTTTAGAAACATAAACTCCCTAAAGGTAGAAAATGATGTAACTTCTGGGAATTTCATGTAGATGAAGAACAATTTGTTCCAGAGATGAGTCATACTTGTTCTATGGAAAGAAAAGTAAGAATAAGTAAGAATTAACTCCTGGAAGATCTGGCTTCTCTGTGCATAGGCACAGGCAGGACTGGGAATGACTACATTTTGAGAGAGTCCAGTTTGTGCTCTGTTTTAAGTTTAATTATTTTTGTCCCCTCCAAAGAAGAAAGAGACTCATTTGAATGTAAGTTTAGGTCACCTTCAAAATTCATTTTTGTATCTTTGTTCATTCTTCAAGAACTCTGAGGTGAATTAAATATTTGTAGGAAACAAAAAATGAGAAAAATTTGAAATGTGTCATAGAGAGACATGGATATTTTTATAACAACTATACTAAAATTTAGTGGGTACTTACTCTGAACTGGAAGTGAACAAAGAAGTTATGTTTAAATTAAATTGATCTTCAAGTACACAAAACAGATACCTCTTTAGGTCACACAAGATGCGTGGGGAAAATTCCTGGGCCTCCCAGTTTGTGTGTGTGTGTGTGTGTGTGTGTGTGTGTGCGCGCGCGCGTGCATGCCGGTGTATTGGCATTTGTATAGTTTTTTTAAGCTACATACTTTGTACTCAGGGAATGATCTCCTGTTGAAGTTAGCAAGGGAGCTACACATGATAGCATAATTTGTAGTCAAACTTCATCCCCAAACAGTATTTCTTTGGGACTTCCCTGATTTCTTCTGATTTAACAACCACTTTACTATTAGATGTACTTTTAAGCTTTGAGCATTTTGTATTCTACAAAATGTGTAGGATTGCATAGAGATATTAGGAGATTTCAGGTTCCCTGATAGACAAGTTTCAGTGTGGAAAAACCATGTACACTGAGTTCAGTCAGAGTGATGAAAATCTCCTAATGCTTTTAGGAAACACCAACCCTGGGGTTTTAGACACATCCCCTTCCATAGTTAAGACTTTGAGAGTTTGTTCTGTACTGTAATGATGACCCAGACTTAGGTGAAATCAAATGCACTGATTCTGGAAAGGAGCTTGGGTGTAGTCAGACCTGTGGACACCGAACCGTCCTTGTCATTGTCCCACATTCTTTGGAGCCTCAGGTTTATTGTATCATTAAAACAGTCTCACCCAGTCATTTCCACTCAGGGTGTAAAGTGACTTTGTACCTTGACATTATTTCTATAGTCATTAATGACACATCTTGAAGAACTAGTTTCTAAGAAAGTGAGGTGGGGCTCAGAGTTCTCTAAGATTCTCAGAAATTTTGAAATCTAGGGCTCTGAATTTATAACTTAGAGAGTTTCTGCTTCCTGCGGTTCACATGTTTCTTTCGATTGTTTTTGTCCCATACTGATGGTAGCCACTTTCCCATTGGCTGTTGGTAACTATTTTCCCATTGGCTTTGTGGAGCTTTAGATCATTATTATCTGCAATTTGATTTTAGATTTTTTTTTAAGTTATAGAGGCCATATGCATATACTTTTTCTTTGTACTAAAATCTTAAAATTTCAAGTAGAGCTGAATTAAAGGTTGAGTCTTCTTTGATTATTCACCAAAATACATTTCCCTGTCCTTTTTGCTCAGAGAAATTCCTTTTGATTTTATGTCGTTCTTTCTGAACTCCTTTTATCTTATTTAAGTGAAATTTAAGCATATTGAAAAAACTTCTGAGAGTTTAAAATGAATTCTAATATTGCATTGTAGACCTTATTTCATGAGTATCTTCTTTTTAATATATGTTTGAAGAAATGTGTAATTTTATAGAATATTTGTATGTATGCATTTGTGTATGTGTGCATGCTGGGGTACATGGTAAGTGTATCAGTGTGTCTGTCTTTGCGTGTGTATGTAATTTCACGTGTCTCAGTGTGAGTATCCATATGCCATGTCATGTTTGTGGAAGTCAAAGGACAACCTTGGGCATTTGTCTTTTCTACCATGTTAAGACAGGTACTCTTGTTGTTTGTCACTGTATATACCAGACAAGCTGGTTTATGAGCTTCTACAGATTTTCTTATCTATACCTCTTGTGTTACCATGGGAGTTCTGGGATTGAAGATGCATATTACTGCATTTGGCTTTATGCAGGTTCTGGAGATGAAGTTTTGCTGCAAATGTCTTATCCTCTGAACATTCTCTGCAACCCTGAAACTGACTAATTTTGACAGTTTCTTAAAATGAGCACACCAAGATTTATTTGCTTCTAAAGAATCAATTTCTGATAGCTCCTCAGGCATGGTTGGGGCCCCAAAGTTATTCCAGAGTTTCTGGTGAGAAATTGACTGTCTTGGTCTTGTGGAAATCTTGTGTTGGTAGCCATAGCTGGGGGTTAATGGATGCAATTGCCATGCCATGTTAAAAAGACAGTACTCCCCACCTCTCCATCCTTCTGTTTTTACACTCTTCATAGGGCATCTTTTATGATGTTCTCTTGGGGATGGTTAATGCAGATGTTGCAGTTAAGGCTGATTATGTACTGCTAATTGCTCTAGCACTTAGATGAGTTATGAGTGTCTGAATTAGTTGAAACCCAATGCAAAAATCAGTTTCCATGATTAAGGCTGACAGCAACCTAGAGGTATGAGTTTCAAAACAAATATTTAAAAGGTTGTTTGGCAATATAAGTGGATATAAATTGCTGATCAGAAAATATTACTATTGCAGTGTTATATCTGGGATTGTGAAAGAGAAATCATGTTTCATATTTATTGGGTTTTGGTATTTCTGGTCATCTTGAATGACACTATTTTTACTGTTTAAACCTCATTTCATTTACTAATGCTAATTTGACACGTGTGCCTATATTGGCTATGGTAATTTTATTTTTTTCTGTTCTTTTGTCATGTCCTTGTTTATCCTGGAAAGAATATTATACTGTTCTGATTACTCTATCTTCATAATTTACTTTGATATTTGTCTAATGGAAAATTCCCCTCTATTTTGTTTTCAACATGGCTTTGGCTGATTTTAATTGTTTTCTCTTCCATAGACTTTGAAGTTTGGTGTTGCATTATAATTTGTGTTTAGATTTTTGATTGAAATTGAGCTGGATTTGCCAAATAATTTGACAAAACTCCTAGCCCAATTAGTGTAAGAAAAATAAAAAAAAAAAACAGGTTTAAATGTATCTCCTGATAAAATCAGTCCATAGGCATGAAGGAGACTACCTATCCAAGCAGAGTGAAAATTCAGTCACTGCTGTGTGAGTAAGAAAGGCTGAATTTCCTAATGAAAGAGATTGTTTTGTTTTGTTCTCTGGAAGGAAATGTATATTTACTACTGAGATTTCTTTGCATACATATATCTTTTCAATTTACTTAGTCATTTAATTGTTTCATTGAGAGTTATACAACTTATTTCCCCCTTTTTATTTAAATTAAAAACAAGCTAATTTTACATGTCAGTCCCAGTTCCCTCTCCCTCCCCTCCTCCCCTGCCCCCCACCAACCCCCTATCAAATCCCCTTTCTGCCTCCAGGGAGGGTGAGGCTTTCCATGGGGAATCTTTAAAGTCTGTCAAATCATTTGGAGCAGGGCCTAGGCCCTCTCCAGTGTGTCTAGGCTGAGATAGTATCCTTCTATGTGGAGTGGGCTCCCACAGTCCATTTGTGTAATTTTGATTTGTGTGTGTGTGTACATTCATGTACACAGGCACTCAAAGAAGCCACATGGGCACATCAGATTGCTTGGAGCAGAAGCAGCAACTGTCTGGGAGACACCAAGACAGGTGTTAGGAACTGAACTGGCATCCCCTGGAATAGCAGTGAGAGCTCTTAACCACTCAGTAAATCCCTACAGCCACAGCCACTTCTGAAATTCTTATTTTGATTTCTTTATAGGTTTTATAGAGTGCTGAGAACTCTGTTATTATGCCCAATCCATAATTTCTATACAACCTCATATGACATGATTGTATCAGTGTCTATACTACATATTTTCAGGGAGATACTCCTTATTAAGTTTAGTACTTTTACAATTAGTGTCAAACCCAGAGCATGATATTTACAAGGAAGGCATTGTTTCACACAGTTTCTACTCAAGCACAAATAATTATTTGTATTTATGGTTTGGAAAGTTTATATGAGATCTACCTTTTATTGAATTCTTTTGAAAATAACCCTTTTTCCTTTAGTCTGTAAAGGCAGTGGTTTTACTGGTAATGTTGAACTATTTTATACTTATATTCTAATTTTCTCTTAATCACATATAAATTCATGTTACTGTTCTGATAATAAAGATTCAATTTGCTACCATATTTTTTTAATCCTAAAATTCAGTGCTTGTGATGTCAGCCTATAGTTTCTTCTCTTATGCATTATCAAGCAGTTGTAAGTCATGACTATCCTATAGTTCTTCATTTTTCTTGCCATAGAGACAAACCGTACCCATGGCAGATGACAACTACACAAGGATCACAGAATTTATTTTTATTGGCTTGAGATACCACCATAAACTACAGGTCTTCCTGTTCTTGCTCTTTCTGCTTTTTTATCTGGTTACTATGACAGGAAACTTGGGTATGATCATTCTTATCCGTGTAGATTCTCGTCTTCACACTCCCATGTACTTTTTTCTTAGCCATCTGTCATTTGTGGACATCTGTTTCTCATCAGTTGTGGGCCCGAAGATGCTCACAGATTTCTTTGCAGAACGGAAAGCTATCTCTTTTCTGGGCTGTGCTTTGCAGCAATGGTTCTTTGGTTTTTTTTGTGGCCATTGAGTGCCTTCTCTTGGCATCCATGGCCTATGACCGTTATGTGGCTATCTGTAACCCACTGTTGTATTCAGTGGCCATGTCCCAGAGACTTTGTATACAGCTGGTGGTCGGACCCTATGCTGTTGGTTTCTTCAACACCATGACTCACACTACAGCTGCTTTCCGACTCCCCTTTTGTGGCTCCAACATTATCAATCATTTCTTCTGTGACATGTCTCCTATCCTTTCCCTCATATGTGCTGACATAAGGATCAATAAATTGTTGGTTTTCATTGTGGCGGGAGCTGTATTGGTTGTCAGTAGCACCACCATCTTAATCTCCTATTTTCATATCCTCATGGCCATCTTGAGGATCCGCTCTGCTGAAGGGAGGAGAAAAGCCTTCTCCACCTGCTCTTCCCATGTCACAGCAGTTTCCATTTTGTACGGGACTCTCTTCTTTATCTATGTGAGGCCAAGTGCCATTTCTTCTCTGGACCTCAATAAGGTGGTGTCTGTGTTCTATACAGCGGTGATTCCCATGCTCAACCCACTCATCTACAGCCTGAGGAATAAAGAGGTGAAAGCGGCAATGGGAAGGACAGTCACCAAGGCCAAATTTTTCCTCAAAAACTAAAATGTCATCAAGAACATAGAAGAGATTCAAGGCAAAGCTGTTAGAAATGATTGGATCTACCTAGACACCATCTCAACATAATAGTTTGCAGAATTTGTAATTGACATCTTTTAATCCTTCCATATGGCACTTATTTTGCTACATAAAATACACTTTATTTTTCTAAGTAAAACAATTAAGCTTTATTTCATTACGTCACTATGAATGTTACTACTATTTAAGCACGTTTTATTCCTTAAAGTATATTTATTATTTTAAGTAAGGTAAAATCCTATGAATACAAGATGTTATTAGTACATTGCAGCATGTATGTATGTCCCTTATTTCTTCATGTAAAATTGAAAATAATGAGTAGAACTCTTTGCTGAGGTTGAAAGTAATTTCAATTAAGTATTTTCCTCATTTATTTAAATTTCTGCCTGTATAATCTGTTTTTCATGCTAGTTTTTTTATTCCTGATCAAAGCAAAATAAACAATAGTTGAAGTTTATGGACAACTTTGCTAACTTTCTTGTTGTTGAAGAGCTCAAACACAGAGAAGCATCTGGATTTGATCAGAAGTCTTATCTGTTTGTATGAAATACTCAAAGAATAAAAACAATGGGTTATTTCGAAAAGATAAAGTTATGCTCGAAAGTGACTCTTTGAAATAAATCAGAATCTATTATTATCTTTAATTATGTTAATTGGGTATGCTATAAAATACTTAGTTAATAATTATGCCAATTATATGCCTATTAACAAGATCTATAGCTGATGAAATAAAAGCAGGTGAAGCATGCTGTACTGATTCAAGGAACACCTAAGCTGTAGAGTTATCTCAAGCTCTGCCCACAAGGATTTCACAATGAGGTTGCTGGTCCCAGTGTGCCTGCTCAGAAGATACTGATGGAGGAAGATCCTGATGAAAAGACAGCCTCATGGTCCTCTTTTCTTCTTCTTTAGGAAGTTGGACATCCTTTGAATGTTCTAAATACAGCACTTCACTAGGATTGAGAATACACTAGTTTGGGTTCAGACTGGTTCATCAGGCTTTCTCAGGAACTTTGGACCCAGATAGGTCAGAGGACACATAAATAAGACTTTTCCTGGCTGCATGCTGAAATTGTCATGGAAAGAAGGCCTGGATTATGAGTCAGGTTGCTAAGCAAACAGAAGCAGTGTCAATAGGAGAATGTAAAAGGAATGCATATGGTAATTCACAAAGTTCTTCCATTTAACTTATACTATTTATTTTTTAAACAATTAGATGGAGGCTAAGCTGAGCAATCTCAGATATGAGTGTCCTTGCCACTTTGAATAAAAAGTGTGACTGCTTTTTCTCTCTAAGAACAAAAAGTTGTCAAAGCTTGATCTGTGCTTGACAACAAAGGTTCTTTGACTGTTTTTTTTTTTTTTCAGAATCCTGTCATCCATGGCACACACACCTTCTGTGTCATTGGTACATCACAGTGTCACTGTGTCACTGTGGTGGACAAACTTTCAAATCTGTGCTCACTGTCTTCCCACTTTCTTCATCTCCTAACTGGTATACCTTTGAATAGTCTGGTACACCATCATTGGCTTTTTATATAAAATTATTTTATTAAGATGTCTTTAACTGCATAAAATGATAAAATAGCATGAGAGAGTCTTATATTTTCACCATCTAGTTTGTTATCATTCAGTTGTATAGTTAACTTGGTGTTCTAACTGAAGTTATTTTAGCTGAGAATTCTTTCAGACTGTAGAAAGGTACAGTCTCTTTCTCTTGCAATTGTGATAAAAATCCATTCTATATGAGGATTACATTTGAATTTATTTATTAGGAACAACAAGGTTTTCTGGCTTTTTAAATCATGGTTATTTTGAATTAGGATGTCTCTGATAACAATTCCTTCCAACATTAGGGTTGCCTATAGAGAAGAAGATCTAAACACACTTCAGACTAGTAAATAGATTAAAAATATCTTGTAGAGCTGGGAAGATGGCTCAGTGTGTAGAGCAGAGGACCCGAGTTCAGCCCTCCAGAACCCATGTAAAATTGATGCAGATTTTTACATCTGTAAAAACAGCTTTCTTGGGAGGTGGAAACAGGAGAGCTTCAAGAAGTTAGTAGGTCAGCTAGTCTGCCAGTAACAATGGTAAACAATATGAAATGTTTACCATTGTAAACATTATGTTTCCCTATGGCAAACAAGATGGAAAATGCAAACTGATAGATAAGGTTCTCTTCTGATCTTCACACATGTACATGAGCTTGAACACACACACACACACACACACACACACACACACACACACACACATACACACATAAAGCATGGGTGGAGCTCTTAGAGCTTCCAGGCAAAGCACCTGGAATGCTCCCATGGTTCCAGGCTACTGAGTGATGTTTCTGAGTCACAGGTAAAGGAATAGCTATTTAGGCAGGATTTGTATTTCTGCCACGTTTGGCACCATTTCTAGTCCTTTCTTGGGTAAGAAAAAGAACCATTTACATCCAGCAATCTGCATTCCTCTTCCAGGAGACTGTGCTCCATTGTGACCGAAGCACACTCTTCCTGAAGCCTCAGTCATTAAATATTTGCACCAACTGCGGGTTCCAGATAGTACACTCTTGTCTGCTTGGAGTGGTGGCAATTGAATTTCTAATCACAGAGATTGTTATTGTGAATCACATTCATGTGCTGAGTATATTTTTCTATGATTTAAGTGAGAAAATATACACAGCTATTTAAACAAAAAACTCTTAAATCAAACAAACAAACTAAAACAAAACAAAAGCTGCTTTGCTAACTTGACCAAAAGTCACTCATGTTCCCACACTTGTTACGGGGGTAATGAGGTTCAGCTCAGGACTCATGTTCACCTGGGTGACTGAGGTGACATGGTATACCTTTGGAATCATTTGGGGCATGGCTGGTTCAACCAGTAAGACTTTTGGGTTACTTCGAGTCTCCACGATGCTACATCACTCTACCCACAGGACATTTTGATCCCAGCATCCCTGTAAAGCTGTGAAGGTGAGAGACACACAGAAGAAACAAACAAGGTTTTAGAATTTGTTCATTTTCAAATGTATGGGTGTGGCAGACACTGCCCTTATGGGCTGTACCATCATGATAATAAGGCTATACATACAAAGAATGACTAAGAAAGAAAGAAGCCAATTGTACTAGATTCAACTCTGGTATAAATGTCTACAGGAGAAGTCCAACTTCCATTATTATAATTTTCACTTAAAATGGCAATTTTTAGCTATAAGTACCTTCAGCCAAGATACATGACTACATTTTCCAATCTCTCTCTCTCTCTCTCTCTCTCTCTCTCTCTCTCTCTCTCTGTGTTTATCCAGACTGGGTTTCTCTGTGTAGCTTTGGAACCTATCCTGACACCCCCTCTGTAGACCAGGTTGTCCTTGAACTCACAGAGATTTCTAATCTCCTTTTATGTTTAGGCTGTTACAATTTGATCAATACTAACCAATGACAAATCTCTAGGCCTTTTTTTCTAATGTCCTTTGGTTGTTGCCAAATAATCAAGTACTAACCAATGATACACCAGTGGAAGATTTGAGAATGCTTCTGGGAAATCCTAGATTTTCTTGTTAGTATTTCTAACCTGACATATTTTGATTATCCAGAGTGCAGACTATTGGCTGGACCTTGCATGATCATTTGGGATTATGGGAGCCTGGTCCTCTAGCTCTTACAAGCTTCCTGAATCCCTCATCTATGATATTCCTTTAGCTTTAGGTTAATAAATATTCTTTCAAAATGACTTAATATGCTGAATTTTTAGCAACTTAGTTTTAGATGCTACTTGTATTTTGGAATATGGAAGTCAAACTTTGCTTATAATAGGGTATTCATGACATGAGCCATTTTACAGAATTAATGAGGAACTCTCTTTTTGTTCCTCCCTGTGTCTCTTAAGTAATCACCTGCTGGGAAATATAAAATGTGTTCAATAAAGGCCTTTCTATGTTTCTTGTGAAACAGACATTTCTTCCTATGCTATTGCTGCTCTGGCCATTAGATGGCAGCATCAGCACAGAAACCATATATGAAGAGGCCTGGCCATATTTCTATTTGTTCTTGTAGCATTAGGGAGATGACAGGTTTGGAGAAATCTTCCAAATACAACCAATGATTTCTGGGGGCTGAGAGATCAAGGAAAGTTTATCATGTGCCTGTGTGCGTTGATTCCATAGGGAAAAGCCAGCACTTTAATTGGCTTATAGAATTTCATTGTCACATAAACATTTGACCCTCACTGATAGGTTTTGACATTCATGCCTTTTGATTATAGGACTAATTATAAAGGATAAGGAGTTTCCTGTTGCATATAACAGAGCTTGGTTATGTCCATCCTAGATACACACAGCTTAGTTTTGACTCATCAGACATTCTTTCATGCCTGATGTCATCAGAACAATAACAGATAAAACAGCTCAATTACTTTCCTAGTTGGTCCTTTACTACTTCTGAAGTACACAAAAAATGTTTGTTGTTGTTTTCATTGCTGTTCTTACAGTTGAGTATTAGAATATTTGTTTTGTTTTCCAATTTTATTTTAATTGTTCAGGAACTTTAAAATACCCTAAAAGAAACCTTTCTTTTTTGTGGGGCAGTGCTCATTTAGTAGTAATGGGGGTTGTAGGCCTTCATCTCTTGGTGGCACTCTTGCTCTTGGTAGTTCTTTCTCACTTTTCTTTAATAAATCTATGCTCATTATGCTAAATACATAATGTAAAATTTAAAATACTGACACATGCCGAACTTTCAGCATGAGAATATAGAAAAAAACTGTAAGAGGTGGTGTTGTAATACTTGTAAAATAATATTGTTTCAAGATGACACTGCAAAGTTGGAACCATCCTCTTCTGAGAGACAGAGAGGCTGTGGTTGGTAGGTGTCACTGGCTTCATGAAGCTGCCTGGAAACAAAACAAAAACCCACAGATGTCAAATTATACTCTGCTCAGTTTTCAATCATTACTCCCTATCACCATGTCTCCTTTACATTTGTGTTGGACTAAGAAATATATAGTAGAGTGATATTTGTTTTATTCAGTCTTCTTTTCTGGGTCAATATCATCAGTTTGGCTCTAACATATGTTTAGATAGAACACTTACTACTAAGTCTTTTATAAGTCTAACATTATTACTAATAGGTCTTTTGTGTCCTGTTTATTATTTTAGAAGTTTTGCTTAACTATTTCTATGGTCGTTAATCTTTGCCACCTTTGTCATCAGATCTAGAATCCCCTGGCAGACACACTTTTGGATGCATCTATGATGTTTCCAGGAAGACCCTTCTGAATGTGGGCAGCATTATTTCACTGGCTGGGGTTCTGGACTGAAAAAAAAACAGCACCATTTGTTGAAGATGCTTTCTTTGTTCCATTGTATATCTTTAGCTTCTTTGTCAAATATCAGGTGTCCGTAGGTATGTGGGTTAATATCAGGGTTTTCAATTTGACTCCATTGGTCTACCTGTTTATTTTTGTGTCAATACCAAGCTATTTTCAGGACTATAGCTCTATAATAGAGCTTGAAGTCAGGAATGGTGATGCCTCCAGAAATTCCTTTATTGTACAGGGTTGTTTTGGCTATCCTGGGTCTTTTGTTTCTCCATATAAAGTTGAGTATTGTTCTTTCAAGGTCTGTTAAGAATTGTGCCAGTATTTTGATGGGAATTTCATTGAGTCTGTAGATTGCTTTTGGAAAGATTGCCATTTTTGCTATGTTGATCCTGCCTATCCAAGAGCATGGGAAATCTCTCCATTTTCTGGTATCTTCTTTCATTTCTTTCTTTAAAGACTCAAAGTTCTTGCTATACAGGTCTTTCACTTGTTTGGTTAGTGTTACCCCAAGATATTTTATGTTGTTTGTGGCTATTGTAAAGGGTGATTTTTCTCTGATTTCTTTCTCAGCCCCCTCTTATTGTCTGTATATAGTAGGACTACTGAGTTTTTGAGTTAATCTTGTATCCTGCCACTTTGCTGAAGGTATTTATTAGCTGTAGAAGTTCCCTGGTAGAGCTATATGGGTCACTTATGTAAACTATGCTATCGTCTGCATATAGTAAAAGTAAGACTTCTTCCTTTCCAATTTGTATCCCCTTATCTCCTTTTGTTGTCTTATTGCTCTAGCTAGAATTTCAAGTACAATATTGAAGAGATATCCAGAGAGTGGACAGACTTGCTTTGAGTTTCTCTCCATTTAGTTTGATGTTGGCTGTTGGTTTGCTGTATATTGCTTTTATCATGTTTAGGTATTTTCCTGTTATCCCTGATATCTCCAGGACCATTATCATGAAGGGGTGTTGGATTTTCTCAAAGGCTTTTTCAGCATCTAGTGAGATGATCATGTGATTTTTCATTTTACATCCTTAGCCATCAGGGAAATGCAAAGTCCATTCGTGCACTAGGGATAAATACTTGTTCCACTGCCAGAGGTCCCATAGCCTGACTAGGCCTCCAAACTGACACCCACTTTTAACGGGCCTGATTTGGGCCTATCCTGGTCTCCAGCTGTCAGACTAGGGCTCATGAATTCCCACTTGCCCAGGTCAGCTGTTTCTGTGTGTTTCTCCAGCATAGTCTTGACCCCTTTGCTCATCACTTCTGCCTCTCTACAACTGGATTACTGGAGGAGTTCAGCTCAGTGCTTAGCTGTGGATCTCTGCCTCAGCTTCCATCAGCTACTAAGTGAAGGCTCTAGGCTGGCATTTAAGGTAGTCATCAATCTCATTATAGGGGAAGAGCCTTTAAGGTAGCTCTCCAATGTTGCTAAAAGAGTTGGAGTAATTCTTGTGGATCCATGGACATTTCCCTAGTGAAGAAGGCACCTTTATAATCTTATATAATTAAACTGCTTAGGAGTAGGATTGATGTAATAAAAGGCTGAATTATATTAATACTTCAATATTCCTATTACTGACCACCTTCTGTAAAATAGAAAAGAGCAGAAGAGAATGGATAATTTAGACTTGGTAATACCTCCAAGTAAGGTCCATTAAGCTAGGGAAGCAACCTTGACCTTGCTTGATCTTAAACATAAGTAGAACTGAATTTGTATCTTATCTTGTCAATGTCTACCTTAAAGAAAAATGAACTGCACTGTATGTTATTTAGACATGAGTGGATTTTTATTTCTTTTCTAATCTTAGTTTCCTGCAATTCTCCACCAGATGTGTCCTGGTAGACTCAGATGAGGTGATAAATTAATAAAGAACAGTTTTAATATTTGAGTACCTCATTGGATAATTAGAAAGAAAGAGTGTGTAAATTGGAATTGATATGTCATATCATTAATTGAAAAGTGTGCTGTGCAGCTAGTGAGATGGCTTACTTTTAAAAGTGCTTGTTGTCAAGCCTGACAACTTGATTTTTTTCTCTGGAACCCACATGGTCAAAGAGGGGAACTCAGTTTCACAAGTCATACTCTTATCTCCAGGTGCTAACACATACACACACACACACACACACACACACACACACACACACCCCACAATGCACCAAATATAAATTAAAAAAACTGAAAATTTTCTGTAAAATAAAATACAAGGTGACATACTATTAAACTTATTTAAATAACAAAAAATCATTTAAAAATTTGAATTAGAGATATGATTTTGCTTCCACAGGTCATTTCTTTTAGATTTTAGAACAGAAATGACAATTTCTAGACAAGTATTATTTTTTTCAGCTGTAAATTCATCCATCAACATGTAATCTTAATTTCCCCTAAAATTAATGAAAACTATCTTATTTTAGATTGGATATGGAGGAAACATGCCCAGAATTAAAATGCCACCTTAAATTTTTAATTTTATACTTTGAATATCAAAAACACATTTATTCATAAAACCATGGAAACTTGTTGAATTACCTAAGCAGAAAAGTGTGGATATTTATTTAAACTATTCCATTATCCATATTACACAATGAAAATAGAGACATTCATAATTTCAAACTATACATGGCTTTATAAGATCATTATTCATTTAAAATATTAGAAAGCTTAAAGATCAGTTGCATTTCACACTCTCTTATATAGTGCTTCAAAGATGACATATATGAGACACTGAGTTTATTGTCAAAAGGGAGGGTGTATTATAGTAAACACTGTATTATAATGTTAAAAACTCATGGTGCCCTATGGGAAACTTGATAAAGATACAATGTGATCTTTCTCGTGGAAAAATTGTTCAACATTATAACTGTAAGGTGTATATTTATGTATATAATTTCACAAAAGAATGTATTTAAATTTTGGATTACCACATAAACAATTATTTTGTGAAACTTGTAAAAATAATTTCCTTTAAAATATTTCTTTTTCTGGTTTCTTTTTTTAACTTAAAAATTTCTTTTAATTTCACATACTTACCTCAATTCCCCCTCCCTGCCCTTCTCCTTCTCCCACATCCTCCCCTCTCACGCCCCCATCCACTCCTTAGAGGGGTAAAGCCTTCTTTGGGATGTCAAAGTCTGGCATACCAAGTTGAGGCAGGACCAAGCCCCTCCCTCCTGTATCAAGGCTGAGGCTTGATATCTCACCATAGGGCATGGAGTTCATGAAGCAGTTCATGCACCAAGGAGAGGTTCTGGTCCCACTGCCAGGGCCCTTCCCTCAACAGATCAAGCTACGTAACTTTCACCCACATTCAGAGGGCCTAGTTCAGTGTTTTTTGAGATAGTAATATAATAATGTCATTTCTCCCTTCTCTTTCTCTCTTTTGATGTATATATCCTTTTAAATTTAAATTTTATTTTCTGATTATTTTATACATGAGTACTGTATTTACATCATTTCTATCCATTCCCCCAACTTCTTTGTGTCCTTTAACTCCCTCTCAAATTCTTGACTTCTTTCCTCTTCTTATTAATCCATGTCTATGTTAATTATATCTTAATTATTATTGTTACACCCACATTTATGTAATTATTATATAATATATATTTTACATTCCATTTAGTGCTGCTCAAAATGTGCATGCTTTAGGGTGATCACTTGGCATTGGATAACCTACCAGGGGCCTCAGATCTGCAGAAAACTTAATCTCCTTTTCCTCAACCACTACTGCCTAAAGCTCTTCATCTAGGCGTGGAGCCTTGTGAGACTCCCTCCATCTACGTTGGCATATCAACTGGTGGTGTCATTATGCAAGTCTTATACAGAGACCATGTTGTTGAAATGTCATAGATATGGTGGAATCCTTGTCATATCTAGAAGACAGACTATCACAGAAGATATTCGTCTGGCTCTTACAGCCTTTCCACTCTTACAATATCACTGAATCTTACATGTAAGGGTTGTGTTGTCCAGCTTGGCAGCCTTTGTGTTGACTCCCATCTCTTTGACTGTATTGGTATACACCAATTCTCTCCAATCATTGCTTTGCTGAGGATTGCTTCTTTGAGCTTCTGATCCAAACAATGGATTTAATATATACATAAATACTGACTCTACTATTGTTTGCTGAAGTAGATCTAAGCTTGCAACAATTAATTCTAGAAATAGGATTTTGGTCTGAAATATATCATCTATAGCATAAATGGGGTTCTCAAATGCTGATAAATACATATTTGTAATTGTCTGTCTTCATTAATTTCTTTCTGCCACTATGTCTAACAAAATGCCTTTGACTCATGTGTTATGGAAAGGAGAGCTAGATAAGTAATAGTGTGTGCTTAAGTGTTTGTGTGTTCTCTTGTGTATGTATGTGTAGATTACAAAGGTCAAAGTTGGGTGTTTTCCTGTATCAGCTTCCAACTTAATTTTGGACTCAATCTCTCAGTGAGTTGTGCCATTAATTTTAGCTAGATTATCCATTAATTTTAGCTGATTATCCATAATCAGCAAGCACCGGGAATCTGTCTATGTCCACCCCATCACTCTAGGATTATAGACATATGCCATAGAACCCAGCTTTTAGTGTGTGCTGAGGATGCAACACAAGTTATCATGCTTGTACAATAAGCTTTTAAAACTGAGCCATGTCTCAAACCTTTAGATACATGGTTTTGACTGATAATTTGAATATTAGTGAATGAATTTTACAACATTGAAATTGGAGGGCTTGATTTTCCTCTTGGCCTGGAGGAAGAGGCTAAAAGCAGAGCTTCTTAGTCTGGAGTCAGTTAGTTAGAATTGACCAGGGGCACACGATCTAGATGCAGCTGAGAAAGAGCCTGGGGATGAGAAGGACAAAGGAAACTATACAGTGGTGACCTTGTACATGTATTGAATTCTATGTACCATTCACACACTCAGTACAACATCTTGTGCAATTCTTGACTGATGATCTCTATAGCTAACTTCCTTTTACACTGAGGTAATGAGAATTCTAGACTTTTAAGCAGTTGCTCCAGACCAAAAGGCCGTGTTTCAGTGTGATTATCTGGAAAGACTTCTGCTCTTCACATAATGAATATATGAATTCTATTTTCTC